TTGAACTCCCTAGCTTCTGCTCCTGCCTCCAGACCACTAAGATTCCAGGGCCTGTACTACCTCACAGGGCCCGGAGGTCTACTAAACAAAAAAACCAATGAGCACTGCAAACAGCACAGCAAGCTATTTGTGTAGTGCAATCACATCCATGGGCACAAAGACATCTTTCCTGAGAGAGCCAAACTCCACACAACCGGCCATCTGTGTGTGTGGGGGGGGGGGAGGGGGACTGCGTTGGTGAGGGCCATCTACTTTTTGGTACTGTATGCTATCACAAGAGCTTTTTGAACATCGAATATAATCACATAGGCCAGATTTGACAGCACAGGCCTGTAATTCTCTGCTAGTTGGCAGGACACTGTCTAGGCTACATTAAGTCCAAAGCCAGCCCAGACAAATGAGTGGAATTTTGTCTCAAAACATGTGAAAGGCACCATATAAAACTGAGTGTAATAGCTTTGCAGGTATAGGCAGGGTGTCAAGGGTTCAAGATCATTCTTAGCTTACACCAGAGTTTGAGGAAAACCTGGGATACATGAGACCGTGTCTCTAAAAAACAAAAAGAAACGACAAGAAGCACAGGGGAGGGTGTCCTGTCGCAGGAGGGCGTCCATGTCAGAGTTGAAGCAGCCCACTTTCCCAGTGTTCTGCCTGAAGCTGCTGAAAAACCCTGGCTAATGTTCTGGGCGACTGTGAGGCAGGGGTCAGACACCGACACCCTTTCTGTGAGCCACTGTACACAATGTCTGTCCTCCAGCTTTGCTGGTGTGTTTGTCCTTGCGGTCATCCCGGGTAACTAATGCAATTTCTTGAGACTGTCTGCCATGCTTCCCAGTCCAATTGGCAGCTGACTCACCAGGTGGCCAGGATGCCCTTGTTTAAAGGCCCTGATTCGGCAGGCGTAAGCAGGCAGAAATACTCTGCTGCAGAGTAGCATCAGCATCTGAGTGTGCCTGTCAGCTGATTAGGATCTGTTGGGCCCCAACAAGGTTAAATTGAGGTTAGGAAGAAAATGCCAGGAGTACGACAGAGACTCACAGAGCAGCATGGCTTATTCGAGTGGAATGAATGAGGGAGAAGGACTGAGGCAGATATCAAATGTCAGCCTCAAGAGTCAAGGATGAGATGCCAGAACAGGCGGCTGTTCTGCCTGAGAGGAAGACAATGTGCTTCCTGGCAGCCTTCGGAATCTTGCCAATCTGTGCTGTACCGGCGCTTCTGCCACCAAGTTAAAGAGTGAGGGTTCCGCGTCTGCTGTTCAAGGGCGCTGAACATGAAATCAGTTGGGTGGGGGTGAGAAGAAAGGAAGAAAAGAAATGTGGCCCTCTGCTTTTATGGACCTTCCAAAGCAGTGGTTCTCAACTTGTGGGCCGCAACCCCTTTGGGAGTCAAACAACCCTTTCACAGGGGTCACCTAAGACCATTGGAAAACACAGATATTTATAGTATGATTCTGAACAATAACAAAATTACAGCTATGAAGTAGTAACAAAAATAATTTGATGGTTGGGGGGTCACCACAACATGAGGAACTTGATTTAAAGGGTAGCAGCATTGGGGAGGGGGGTTCTGGCCCCTGCCTCATTGACAACCACTGTTCTAGAGTTCTCCTAAGAGGTTTGGAGTCATTTTCTGTAGCAGCAGCTGCCTGAGTATTGGCCAAGTCTGGCTCTTAAGATTTTGAAGGAGGATGTAACAGCTGGGACTTTTAACAGCCCCAACACTATAGCCTCGGATAACTCTGGGCAAGCCTGCATCTCTGTGGATACTCCCACCAGGATTTTGGTCAGTCCTCAGAGACCTATTGTTTTCTGTTTTCCTCGGGCCATGCCTCCACAGTGGTGTGTGGTTTCTGTAAAAGGTCTTATTGTGACAGGAGAGGCTTTTACAGTGGCCTAAGAAGATATGATTTCTGTCACACACAGAAGGACCTAGAGAATCATGGGTGCTTAATGAGTGGCTTTGACAGCTATTTTTTCCACAGACTATTTCCTGGTTCAGGGCTCAGGCCTATTCTAGGGCCAGACTCTCTTCCTGGATAATCTCACAGTCTCTTCCTACTCCAGATAATACCTGGGCCAAGAGGCATCCATTGTGATCACTTGGGGTTTTAAAAATTCCATGTATATTATTTCCAGGATAGGTATTGATTATTTATACATGTTGAAATAAATATATAAATTAAGAAATGTTAAAGTAAAACACAAATAAATAAATGCCAACATTAAGAGAACTATATTTATAAATGTATCTTCAAGAACTAGGGTTCTGTTTCCCAGGATTTGGACCATAACATTGCAAACACTTACTGTAGTACATAAATTAGCATATGCCAGCAATTAGAGGTTGCATTGACCTAAAAGGTTGGGTGTGTGATAGTGCTCACAACTGGATACAATGGAGAAATGACATGAAATAACAGCTGACATTTGCACCTTTGAGTTCAGCATGCCAGCACGTTCTTGGCTAAATTTGATTGTCACGGCGCTCTGGGGTTTGCAGAGATGCCATGAGTTGCAAATCTTATTGAGGTCCTTAGGAAAGAAAGAGCCCGGAGCCTGGAAGAGCTGAGTTGTCCAGGAGTGGCCAAGAACACAGTGTGCTCAGGTTAACGAGTATCAGGCTGAATTAGGGAGGGGGATGTTTAGTCACGCAGTGACTTTAGGTGGGGGTGTGACTGTATGGGATGCTAGGCCTGTGTCTTTTGTTCAGAAAGGGACTTTGAGCACATCATTACAATATTACACAGATTTTTCTACTTGATGGTCACCTAGTAAAGGTGGACAGTTCTCAGATGGGATCCACTGGCATGCTGACCTGCACCTTTTCAGACGCACACAAAGCACACTGGCATTCTATTATTTTCCTATTGCTGTGATACGTCACCATGACCAAGGCAACTTATAAAAGGAAGAGGTTATTCTGGCCCACAGAGGGATGAGAAGCCATCGTCATTGTGGCAGGGAAGCATGGCAGCAGGCAGGCATGGCAGCCACTGGGGAGAGCACTCACATCTAAAACCTCAAGCACAGAGCAGGACAACCAGGAATGGTGTGTGGCTCATGAAACCTCAGAGCCCACCATCAGTGACATCATTCCTTCAGCAAGGCCACATCTCCTAAGCCTATCCAAGCAGCACCACCAACTGGAGACCAAGTATCCAAATGCCAGAGACTATGGGGGACATCTCTTCAAACCACCATAAACACCTTTTGGGTTGAAGTCTTGTGGCTCGCTGTACCAAAGCTGCCAAATCCAAAATGTGCACACTGTCATTTCCTTTGGGAATTAACTCCTCCTTCTCACCAACATCAGCCCTCATCTGAATGAATCTCTCAGGGGTGTAAATTTTATACCAAAAACTTTGGATTTCAACACATTCTCCTGAATAAGGACATTGACGGGACCATGCTCACACACAGCACCGTGCTTGAAGGCGGCCACACATGGCACCTTCAGTCATGTTCTGTGTATGACATGTACAGTGGCTATGGGTGAGGAGGACAAAGCTGGTTCCCTTCTAGTCGGGAACATAGCCAGCCTGTATTTCTTCCGTTCTTTCCAGGAAGACTGGGTTTGGTGCTGATGCGATGGTGTCCTTCTGTAGGGCTTCTCTGAGAGCCAGTCCTCTTTGGGAGACTGGTGGTCAGAGCCATGTGATGTTTTGAGCCTCTTGCCTCAGCTCCAGGAGCTGAGCTCCTTGGGCATCCTCATTCCGAAGGCCCATGAATGGCCCTGGATGCTCTTTCAGCCAAGAGACCCCCACCCCCACTGTTAACTTTTACATTACTATAACAAAATACCTGGCAGAAACCACTTATGGGAGAAAAGGTTCACCGTGGTTAATGTCTCCAGAGACATTTCAGTCCATCAGTGGTGGGGAGGACACACGACAGGGCAGTAGAGGGGTAGCTGTTCAAGTGGTATGAACCAGAAATGGAGAGCTAGACCAGAGGCAGGAACAGCCACAGTCTTCACAGACCTGCTCCTACTGACCTCGGGCCATTGCCAGGCCCACTTCTTGAAGACTCTACAGCCTGCAAATTAGTGCCATAAGCTGGAGACCAAATAAGTTCTCAAATTATGAGGGACAATTTCAAACTCAGGCCTTGCCCCCACTCCCCCGCCCGTTCCCACCCAGCCCTTCCTGGATTCACTGCATTGACAAGGGAGAGAGACCTAGGAGTACATTTCCAGTTCCCCCAGGTCCAGAGGCCTCTCTCTATCTGCATTATCAGGTGGGCAGGCTGGAGCCCATACGCACATGAATGCTCACTCATGCCTCCCAGGCTGAAACGCCTATGGGAGGTCTTCTTCAGTGATCGGAAACAATTGATCATATGGTTTCAGTTGGTTTCTTTGATCTGTGTCTTCTGAGCCCACTCCATTCCCAACCTTCAAACCAGAGTTATTTGTACAGGTGGCAACCCTCCTTCCTTCTCTGTGGTATGAAGATGACATCTGTGGTCCGCTGAAGAGGTCCCGGGTTCACGGGAGGACTCCCCTAATCTAGCCAGGATCGGTGAGAACTGTGGTGAGGGTTGCCGGGGACAGTCTCTGATGCCCCGCCTCAGCTCTAACCTGGTGGCCACTACCTCGCCTCGCTCTGCAGAATGCACTTGGTAGGGCTTGGCTCTGGGAATTGTGTAGACATATAGACAGACACTTAACACCATCCGTGAGGACAGATGACAGAACAGAAAAGGGCTCCCTTTCACTAGCTGCCTGATTTTAGAGGAATGTCTTTCAACACTACCAGTTGTTTCCCTGGTGACAGAGGCCTCAAAATAAACAGGACTCTGCTCAGACGGTAGTGCACTGGGCTCGGGCTTCTGCCCCAAGACAACCATGCTAAAATAACACCCAAGGTAGCTGCTCTCACCGCCTGCCATCTCGGCAGTCCCCAGGTCTGCTGCAGACTGTCAAGAGTGGGGGGCACTTAGAACTTCATGTGCACTGATGTGGTGGGGTGGGGCTGTCTGGTGGTCCACAGGCGGGGCCCCTCTGCTGATGAACAAGGGCCAAAGGCAGACCTAGAGGCCGGCGCTCGCTCTCTGCTCCCCCACCCACCTCCCTGCTTCCCACACAGCCCTCTGGGACTGGCATAGTGTCTGGAGGCGGGCCAGCAACCTGATGTGCATGCCACAGCCCGTCCCTCTCCCCACACAGAGCTGCAGTAATCCTGAGGTTCAGAGAGCCGGCTGGAGAGACAGCCTCAGCACAGGGACTGTGATACACAGAGCAAAGGCCACCAAGCGGATTCCATCACCCTTGAGAGCCAGTGGAGTAAGGAGAGCCCCCAAGCTGCCAGCTCTTCAGGTAAGAATTAGTGAGTGTGTTATATCCAGAGATAAGTTTGGCTGTTTTGTCCTAGAATGATTATAAAGCTAGTAAAAAGGGAAGGACAGGGGAGAGAAGTGTTTTAAACAGTTAGCAGGGAGCCAGCATGCCTGCTAGTCCACTCACTGGATGGGCTCCCCTATGGCTGGCTTGAACTGAGTGCAGCCGGCTCTGGAAGAAGGGCCCGCTGAAAGCAGACGTGGAAAAATAACACAGGTTTGAGTCTGAAAAAGTAAGCCTACACCCGGCTGCCCTATCATCATCATTCCACCAGCGCCAGCCTAAGAAGACGGGAGGGGGTGGGGATCATCTGATTGACGGAAGCCCTGGATGCAGCCTTTCAGATCTGTGGAAGCTGAGAGCTATGGCCACAGTGGGTCTGGCTGGCACTATCTTGCTGTGTCATGCTCACCCTACCCAGCAGCCGCGAAACTCAGCTGCCTTGGAAAGCCTGTGGGAAGTTTAGGTTTCTATGGGCTGCTTCATAGAAAAGCTGGAGGTTTAAATAGGATGGACTCTGATGCTCCCTGCCCTGTTGCCTGAGTTACTCATTACCTTCTGATCCTCTTTCTGGTTGCAAACTCATCTCAGGACATCTCCCTTAGGCTCCCGTAGGGACTAGTACATACCAAAAGTGTTCAAGACTCCTGGACAGGAAGCCTTGAGACTCTCAGACCTCTGGGTGCCCGTGTAGGAATTTCAGGTATTTAATCAAGGGCCGTTTTGCAAAGACCTCGCCCCCCATCTCAGTCCTGAGAGTTCCCTGTGTCTCAGCCGAGTTTAAGCCTCCATGCTTCCTTTAGGCTGTCTAGCACCCACCATTCCTTCTCTTCCTTCCTGTCTGCTTTGGTGACCGGCACCTTTGCTTTCCTTCTTTATGGGGATGTCATCGATGGGGCTTTAGCTCCTCATGCTGCATTGAGGGGAGACAGGCATCTCCAGAGAGGCTACCCTGTCTCCCTCCCTCCCAGTTGATGCCATGACCTGACACTGTGGCAAAATGTTGAAAAGATAGCTCAGCTGGCAAAACGCTTACCATATAATCTTGAGGGCCTGGGTTGGATCTCCAGGAGTCATTATTTTGGGGTTCTGAGGGCTTTAGCTGTTGTTATTTTTTCAGTTGGGTTCAGTGGTGAATGCTTGAAAGCCCAGTGCCAGAGAGGCAGAGACAGGTAGATCCCTAGGGCTAGCCAGCCAGCCAGTCTAGTCTACTCACTGAATTCCAGATCAGCGAGAGATCCAAGCTCAAAACAACAACCAGGCAGAAAACAGGACCGGGAAACAAACAAGCAAGACCTAAGGTGGACAGCTCCTGAGGGGTGGCACCTGAGGTTGTCCTCTGGCTTCTGCATGCACATGTACATTTGTGTTCCTGGGAATGTATACACACACACACACACACACACACACACACACACACACACACACACGACTGAGAACAGATGACCTTGCTTTGGGGGTAATGGTATCCAGGAAGAGTGGGCTTCCCTCACGAGGACTGTTGTTTGTGTGACTAGTATGGCTTGACGGAGACTGATTCACAGCCACTAACTCCCTCTATCTTTGTTTCCATTGTGTTGCTCCCTGAAGGCTTCCCAGGAAAGTCCCTCTTAAAAGTTGTATCTTGGAAGGCAAGGTCAATAGTTTGCGGCTGAGGACTAAGGGGCACTTTCTTCTTGTTGTCGCTATCTTTTAAAGTATGAACACATAGATTTGCTGATGTAGCACTTAATAAAAAGCAAAAGTAATTATATTATATTATATTATATTATATTATATTATATTATATTATATTGAAAGTTAAGCAAGAAAAACATCTTGTGTTCACATGTCCTTGCCTGGCTTTTAAAAGTTAAGTGGCTTGGGTTACAGGTGAGTGGCACCAACCATGCTGATGCTATTTTCAGGAGTGATGGCAGGTAGACACTCCATCTATACTAGCAAAGGTATATCCAACCTAGGGAGAGATGCTGAAGCCAGCCTTTTTGCAGATATGAATTCTGTGGACTCTGGCTAAGTTAATCAAGGACCTGCCACTCTGTATACCAGCTGCCATAAGGGCAGAGAGTACACCACTTCTTGTCTGTTGTCAAGGCATTGCTTAACTGACACGATTCCCAGTGCTAAAACAAGAGTTCATAGTCATTCGTACCATGGAATACCCTGTATTAAATAGAGCTAACATCTATTCACTGTGCATAGATTGCAAGTAGGTAAGTCTTTTTCCTTAGGGAAGGATTCAGTTTTTCATTAACTACCAACAAAGTGTCGAAAACATAGGAGACCCGTGCCAGCCCAATCAGACAGAGAAGGGATTGGAGCTATTGAGTATCCAGGTAACAGCAAAGGGTTGGGATGAAAGCTTAAGGCAGAAGACACGAGCCAGTTCTAAGGGAGTGAACTGCAGGGACAGAAAACAAAAGGGCAGAGGAGAGAAGAGTGGCTGTTGTAATTCCTCAGTCGCAGTGGAAAGAAGCACAGTAGGGGCTGGGGAGATGGCTCAGTGGACATGGCCACTGCCACACATGCATAGGGACCTGAGTTTGGACCCCCAGTGCCCATGTAAAAGTGTGGCAGCACAGCTCTGTAATCTCGGAGCTCCTGCGTGATAAGCATACACAGGAGGCACAGCAGAAACTGAAGGGCCAGAGAGTCTGCAGATGCACCAAGGAACAACGAAAGAGAGACCCTGATCTCAAACAAGGTGGAAGGCAAGGGACGGCAGCTAAAGTTGTCCTCTGACCTCCACATGCACATCATACATAGCAAATGCATTCCTGCACTCACACATGAATGAATACACACACACACACACACACACAAGGGTGAGAGCAGTTGAAGACTCCTAGACTCCTATAGTCATTCTCTGGTCTCCACATGTATGAATACATAAGGTACCCATGTACCTGCACATCCATATGCACACATATAACTATGTATACAACACACACACACACACACACCACAAGGAAAACGGTGTGGCAAAGTGGCTAAATACACAGATTCTGCAGTAAGGCAGTCTGAGGTGCAAATTCTGACTCTGTTACTGACTGGTGATGTGCTTGCCCCTCAGATTCCCCCTTTATTAAAAAAAAGTGACAAAATGCTAACCTTGTTAAGGGCAAGCTCAAATGAGTAACAGCATTAGTCCACTACTTAGCTTTCAGTGAGGGACACTGAGCACTGAGGAAGCTGGGATGCCCCAAAGCCAGTTCTGGAACTTTTGCTTTGGCATGGGGCTTTGTTTGCATTTATGAAGATCTGGAGACAGAACAGCTATTGTCCTAGTCAGCAATGTTTCTCGTCTTTTCTGTACCCAGGCATTGGGCTCAGCTTTAAGTCTGCCAACATCCCGCTGAATCAGGGGCTGGCACACAGGTAAGACAGAGGTTCAGTGGAGGTTTACTGGTTTACTGGTGGTCCCACAGCTACCAAGGAGCTGAGTGAAGACTGAGGATCCTAACTGGGACCCTCAGACTGTGCTCCTAACTGGGGAGGCATCCTAAGAGTCAGGTGAAACTTGGTGACAGGAATTTAGCAACAGGTGACATCTGAAGACTCTAGAGCAAATAGGCTGGAATTTGGAACTATTATTCAGAGATGGCAGGACCCTAGCTTGTGTCATGGGCAGAGTCTTAACCTTGAAGACTTATATGCAGGAAAAGTCCAGTCTGCAGCCGACTGGCCACAGGCACTCCAGGAAAGCCATGAATGCATCTCAACATAAAATTATAAACTCACTCAAAACATTATCAGGAAGGTTTTTTGTTGTTGTTGTTTTTAATCCTTTTTCTTTTCTTTGTAACGTAATATATGGTTCTCTTGACTGTGAATTTTGTAGTTGACAGTGTCTGTCTCAATGGTCAGAGGTTGGACACCACTGACAGCATGGTGGCAGGATCTTTAGAAACAAGACATGCTACACAGGTACCATGGCCCCCAGTTTTCCTGAACCAGGGAGTGGGTTGGGCTGGAGAATACAGGAAATGGGGCTAAAAACAGACTCAGGCATGCAGAGAATGCTGAGCCATGACTCTCTGCCTAAGTTCAGAGTTTCTTGAGCTAAGTCTGAGGGTAACATTGGGCAGCCTTGGTTGTAGAGATGGGAAGAATGAATAATCCAAAACCAAGTGTCTTAACCAAGCAAGCTTATGGTGAAGGGAAAGATTCGACTTTTCTGAAGAATATAACCATGTAACCACCACAGATTGGGTGACTGCATAATCCCTCAAGACCATCTCACTAACCTCGTTTACAGGATGCTGGTGATGCTGACATGTGTGAAAAGGCATGCCTACCTTTCAGGAGGCTGTGTAGATATGGAGCATTACTCATGGATATGACTCAGCTCTGCCTCTCCAGGAACTGTGCTCTGGTCCATTCCTGCTAGGCTGGGTGGTGCAGGCCAGCCTGGGCATTTAAAGAGACTATCTCCAAAATGGAAAACAGAAAGAAGGGTAGAGTACAGCCAAGAGGGCCCATCTGATATGCACGGGGTCCTAGGTTTAAACTTTAGCCTTATAAAAGGGGGGGGGTAGATTCTGAAATCCTACACATAGAAGTGATTCAGTGGTTGATGAGGGACTCAGGATTCTGCATTTCCTCAGGGATGCCCACATGGATCTTAAGCCTGTGATCACAAGCCACACTAGAAAAGCTTGGATCTGGCTGCCCACCATGGGTCCTCCCACTTTATTAGTAGTAAGGGGAACACGGTTGTGTGTGTGTGGCCCTAGTGGCAGTTGGCCTCTCCTCCATCACCCTAACTTGCCCAACAGAACTTCCACCTATTATGACAATACTATTGTGTACAAAGCCCCGCTCCCATAGTGCTCTTCTCTCATGAATCCTTCACAACCATGTCATGAGTTAGATGCTATTACTACACACATCTCACTAATGCAAGAAATGAGCCTACCACCAGGAAACTAAGGAGCTGGGATCTGAACTCATCACTAGCAGGCTAGCAGAGCCCAGAT